ACTTTAAGGATTGTTTTGCCTTGGACTTTGATTTAATTCTACATGATACCTGGGATGCTGACACATGGTTTTTAAGTGAATCTAGCTTCCCCATTGTCTTTGCATGTCAGAAGGTCGTGAAAGGTGGTCACATGGCCAACTGCTGGACAATGCAACTGTGATAAAGGCGAGCCAGTTGCCAAGCATCTGAATTCTGATCATATGACCATGGGGATACTGCAATGGTTGTAGGTGTGAAAAACGGTCATAAGTCACTTTTTATCAGTGCTGTTGTAACTCTGAACAACCACTAAATGAACTGTTGTTAAGTCAAGGACTACTTGTTTGTGTTACAAGGGTATTGATCCTGGAAAGGAAGCAGATCCCTGTTGTGACTCAGCAGCAGTTTGCTGTGAGTTGCGTCGGGATGCAGGAATAATGAGCAGCTATTGCTCGTTAGGGTCGTCTTCTGCAGATAAAAGACGGATAGTGCCACACCTTAATTGCAGGAGTCAACGTTCGTGGTTCATCGTTCATCGGTCGTGGTTGTTCGTGAGAGGCACTTGGATAAGTGATTTGCTTTCTGTAACCCTGATTCAAAGAGGCACTTGGATAAGTGATTTGTTTTCTTTCTGTAAACCTGGTTTTGCTGTAAGAGCTTTTTGTTTTTGCTTTTGCTGTGTACCTTTTTGCCAGAGACTTTATCTACGTTTATTTTGGGGCTCGCAGCCAGCTTGAGCCAGGACTGATAAAGTTATTTCCTTTGAAGTTCTGTCTGACTGTCGTTTGTGAACGAGCGAAGAAGGGGGGGTCAGAACAGGTCCCTATAGAGAGAATGGGAAACTTGTTTCAAGGAAGTTTTCTTCCAGTAGTTCTATAGAGCGGCAAGACAAATACAAAACCTATGAAAATGGTGGTCCCAAAATTGCTGGTCTGATTATTATTTTTTTGTCTTTCGTTTGGTTATAAATATTTTAATGTTCCTGAATTTTAATGCATTATAGAAAGAGAGAAGCTGGTCTTTCTCACAATTTTTTTTAAAAAAAGGCTTAGAGTAGATAAGTGCTCGTGTTTGAATGGTATAAATTCCATTCATTTCAATCATGCTTCTGCAGACAAACTTCCTCTGGACTGCATCTTAATAAATTAAGAGGTTGGCATTTGCCTGAAGGATCTCTGGCCAAACCAGGGCATGCCAATAGTACCTAAACTGCCTGTCTGCAAGGCGGATTAAAAACTGTCCATATTTAAAAAAAAAAATCTTTTTGATTCCTGAAGGAAGATCAAAAGGATTAATGACTAATATTAATGACATCATCACTGATAATGACATCATGCTGAAAACATAAAATTACAGCATTGATGAGGGTTTTTTTTCTCTCCACCAAAAGTTCTAAGAAATGGCAGTTTTATTTCAGCAACTTCTAAGTGAAGGAATAAAATTAAAGCAGAAATCTTCCCTCTCTCGTTTAAAACGTTGTTTTGTTTTTTTTAAACCCACCCTTTCTTAATATGCATTAAGTCTATTCATGCTTACTACAAGGAAGCAGTGTGGGTGAACACAAGCCTACAGATCCAGGCTGCTTGTGCATGTGATGTTTTCAGAAAAAATATCCCCTTAATTGCTCGTATGATTATATCTCAGTGGAGCGTCGAAAAGACAAGGCTAAGGAAGGAAATCGGAAACCTACTTCAGGATACGAAGGGGAAGAGGTGGCTGCTGAAAGGTGGAGAAATGCTTTTGTTATTGCTTTTGAAAACATTTTTTAAAGCCAGATGTGAATCCTGTCCTGGAGAACGTAAATGCTTTCTGTTCTGTTGAGTGAAAAATACGAAGAACTGAAAGAATAAATTTGGTAGGGATTATGATAAATCTTGCAATTATTTATCTTCTCTATCCAACAAATGCTCGCTATGAAATTTGGTGTGTTAATCACAATCAATATGCCATTATGCCAATCATTATGCCAATCTACCATTAAATATTCCCCCCCCTCCAAAAAAAAAAACTTGTTTGGTTTCCAGGCTACAGTAGAGGAAGATGACTTTTAAAAACATTGATAAAAGTGTCTTGGCAAGGATGAAGAGAACATATAGCTTGGCATCTGTGATGTCATAGATCAGTGTTTCTCAACCTTGGCGACTTTAAGTCCTGTGGACTTCAACTCCCAGAATCCCCCAGCCAGTGCACTGGCTGGGGG